CCACACATGCACACGCTTCCTCTGGCTCTGTTTTCTCCAGTTTAAGGACGGTATGTGCCTGTAGCATCTTTGTGAGACAGCTTTCACTACTTTGAGATTGTAATACATTCTTTTGCTCTTAATGCCTGTTTACTCCCTATGTAAACTTGCCTTAAGTGGATGAGACCATTTATATCTCTTTGTAAGTACTTCTGAAGAATCATTCATTTCTCTTTTATTGAGGACAGCTTGTAAGAAGAGAAAAGGAAAGAGGACAGAGTTCTAGGAGACGATTGCAATCTCTGTTTAAGTGGTTCAGAGAAGTCCTTGCTCAGTGCTAAATCTGGCCCCTATTCTTCTGGTAAGACTTCAATTTCTAGTGAGGAGAGTGGCAAGGTTCCTGCGGTGGAGCAGCCAGTGGCGGTGTGGGAGCGTTGGCTGGGGGCAACTTTGGAGCTTATCTGCTCTGGGCAGGACTGTGAGCAATGCTGGATTGACAGCCTTTATCTACCTGAGTCTTGAGAACCTTTGAGAACAACACCTTTGAGAAGCACCAAACCAACTTGCAGATGTTTGTGTTTTTTTTTTTTTCTGGTGTCCAGAACCTTTCAAGCCATTACCTTGTGGCTATTGCACTTGTTTTGTTGTCAGTAAGTCCCGAGAAGAGTTTGCCTCCATCGGTTTTGCAACGGTCCTTCATTTTCAGCTGCTATTAGTTTACCCTTGAACTACTACATCTTTGTCAGACTGAACAAACCCAGCTCCATCCCATGATTTTCAGACATCACTCTCAAGGCTCCAGGCCACTTGGTGACCCTTTCCAGGCTCTCCCATTCCTTTTCTACTTGGGAGGTTTGAAATAGAACTCAGTACTTAATGCTGGTGAAGCTGCAGTGTGAGTTTCCTTTGATCCCGCTCTTCTTGACTTTCCCTTCGTGGTGAGAGCAGACTCTTGGCTCCCATTCCACTTGGCAGTCTGTGATCTGCAGTTCTGTCTCAGCAAGGCTGCTCAGCCAGTCTGTTCCCAAGATGCACAGATGCAATCCTGGTGCAGAATTTTGCGCTTTGTGAGATTTCTCTTTGCTCACTCAAGTTCATCAGGTCTGTCTGAACTGAACCTCTGCTACTTGAAGAGTTGGTTGCTCTTTCTTTTTCAGTATCATCCACTGATTTTCTGAGGATTCACTCCATCTCATTGCTCAAGTTGTCTATAAAGATACTGCATGATATCAGCCCCTCTATGAACCCTCTTACCAGCTTCCAGCTGGATGCTGAGCCATCCAGTGGTTTTTTTAACTCAGCAGTCCATCCAGTCTCTGTTCAGTTGTACAGTCCACTCCATTTTTCCAGTCTACATTCGTTCAGCTTACTAATGAGAATACAGTGGGAAAAATGGATTCTGGTTGTATTCAGTAGAAACTGGACTATTTTTACTAGATTTATTAGGCAAATATTTGAAACACCAGTGATGAAGATTAGTTTTACATAATCAAGTATTTATGTAGATGAAATTGCATTTCATCTACATTGGAAATATAGATCGGCAAACTTATTGGAAACTCATGTTTCTGATTTCCAAGGATGGCATCATTTTCTCTAGGAGTAAGCTCCCAAAGCTGCTGCTGTGAAACAGCACAATGAAACTACATATCTGTATTGTTCATTCTGTTATGCAATGAATAACAGGGAAAAAACGCTTTTATTCTTCTGGGGTGGGCCTTGGGGACAAAAGAGCTGAAATGCTCAATTTACAAGATGGAGTTTATTTCATGAAGATCTGCATCTGAGCAGTTAATTACACCTGCAGCCCAAATTGGTAACTGCTGACCTGCATGTCTGATATTTCCTTGGCAGCCACCTGTTGACCAGGTAATGAGAAACCAGAAGGAATGATTCTGAGTGTCAAAATGAAAGAATAACAGCCATTTATTTAATCTATCTTTCAACATGCAGAAGGAGGCATGAGCTTAATCCTAAATCTGTTTTGAAAAATGGCTTTCTGTCTCCATTTCAGTTTTAAAATGCAAGGTCAATTTTGCACATTTTCAAGTGACCAGAAGTAGAGTAGTTGATAGTGGCTTTCATCCACATGATGTGTGGCTGATGGGATGAAGTACTTTTACATTGCTTGCCAGCCAGAGCCCAGTGACACAGACCTGTGATCATAATGAATTTCCAGATGTTTTAAGGAACAATTAGCTTCCTATAGGAATAGAAAATTACTGTTCTCAAAGAGAAGGTAGAACCTTTTTTTTTTCTGCCTAATTCTTGAACATTTGAGGTTTGACGACGGATTTTAAGCCTGGAATATTTTCTCTATTGAAAACTGTGGCAGTTTTAGATTTAGTATGTAACTCTTAATACCAGAAAAGTTTTTTGGGCAAGATAGTCACAGTAATAATTTCTAGTGTCATACAGCTTAATTTCACGTACACGTCTTTTGAATAATGGAAAGTGAGAGAATTAACAGCAGCAAGAACTGGTACAGTGCTGCTCCAACACTCCCTGTATCTAACAGATGTTTTAGGCACAGATTTTGGTTTTGATTTTGATGCTTGTAGGAATAAAATTGATTTAATCATTTTAGACTTGACAAATAATCAAACAAAGATCTGAATAGATAAATATTTTGAAGCATAGCTGAGGCAGCAGAAAGTAGCCTTGATGAAAGTGATTAGGAGATGCTTTTCCTACTTTTTCTGCTTTTCTTTGTGAAATAAATTGAAAATGGACACATTTTGAGATTCTTCTTGAGACAGCACCTTCAAGAGCTGTGTGGTGGTGGTGTGAGTTCAGTGCTTTGAAGTTGATGTGAAGTACAGGAAGTAGAATTATAGCAACATTTGGGATGGAAGGGACACATAGAGGTCATCTGGTCCAACCCTCCTGCAATTAATGCAATGAATGAATATCTGCAGCTATATCTGGTTGCTCAGGGCCCCAACCAGTCTGACTCAGCCATTTCTGATTGGAAATTGAGTTATGTGATTTCTTTTGTTGTTCACTTCTGACGCTTATATAGTAAGATAACTCTTCCCAGTGGTGTCAGACAATGCAATAAAGTGAATGGGCATAGATCAGGATGGATAGATCTTAACTGATTAGCAAAGCTAATTTTTAGCAGTAACATTATGTAGTTCATAGCCCTGTGCTGCATGCAATCAGAAAATCTGTGTCGGAGCCAAGGCTTTTATGTTGTTTTCTTTCCTCTTCCCTGTAGTTTAGATTCATAACAACTTGGCACAGTGTTTTGTTTTTAACTTAATATGATGATTAAGGCTTTTTGTTTGAGAGAAACAAAACTAATGTGAATTAATCCTAAAACTATACTTATTATTGAAAAATTTCCTTGACTTTGATACCATTCTTTTGTCTCTTCATGTGGTGAAAGAAAGATGTCGGTATGGCAAATCCTTGTATTCTTTTGGCCTGTCTTAAATTTCTCCTGAGGGTTACTGGCTATTTGTAAAAACTTTTCTGAGGCATTGTCCTCTTTGAACAGAAGTGGAAGAAAACACACACCATGTTTTGGTCTTGATGAGCATCACAACTTGTTTTACAATTTCCTTGATGTTCTCTAAGATTTCTGTTTCAAAAGCAGCATTACACAGACCAGACTTCTGAAAGCTACTGTAGCTGAAAAATACATCTTCACCTGTTTTGTGTTGAAACCAAGAAAAGTACCCTGCTTTAGGGCAAACACACTGCAATGATGGCTAAGCTGGAAATTTACAATTAAAAAGAAAATCCGTCTGGATAAGCAGTAAAATGTCATAATACATCTTGTTTGGACAGAAACCAGCCAGCAAGCGTAAATGGTTGCTCTGTATTTATTGTGGTGTAAAATCATGGAGTTGGACCAAACTGAGCACATACTGGTTTTGATAATGATACATCTTCTGGGTATTTTCTGGTGAGAGCAAGCTTATGTAAATTTTAACCTCCCAAGTTGAGTTGATGCTATATAACAGAATGTAATAATGTTATGCACGAGTCTGACAGGTTTGGATGAGAGCATTAGGCATCTTGTGTACTGGTCATCTGGGTTGGCTTTGTCTGCTGCTTACCTCCTGCCCTCCTGCTGTAACTCACGGCAAGTTTCTCTGTAGCTTTTTATGTTGGTTTTTTCTTTTTCTTTTTTCTTTTTCTTTCTTTTTTTTTTTTTTTTTTTTTCTTTTTTTTTTTTTTTTTTTAAGTGTTCTGTGTTTTTGGCATGGAAACAGGAAAGGCTGGAGCTTCCTGCTTGCATAAACAATAAATTCCAGTAAAGTAACGGAGACAGATTCCACTTACCTTCCCTGAATACCATCTTTTAAAGGAAGGAAATAACATAAGAGTGCTTTGGGCATTGAAATAGGATTTACTTCATAGTAGAGCTGTTTTCCTGACTAATTATGTAGCAAAGACAGGACACCTTTATTGTTTCATGACATGCAGTCCTTGAGATACAGATCTGAAAAAAATATATTTGTGTGACCTTGTTAACTATTGTGTTATATCATATATATATGAACTATACATAGTCTTCAGTAATAAACTAATGCAACCATATTTCTGATTACAGTAAATCATGGCTGTGTGCTCTCTTCCACGTCCAGAGCTGTGCAGCCATGCTTTCTTTAACTACAGCATATGTCAGAAAACATCTGGGATTTTCATTCTTCTGTTCTATGAAGTAAAGCTGATGTTTTTTATCTTATTTGTCAATCCTGTTATAATCCACACAAATTCAGTGTTTCTAGATAATCAGTGGCACACAGCACAGCTCGTCTTGTAGGTAGGCTAAGTTAGAACAACTCCACATTGACAGTGTTAAAGAATATGTGTGCCTTAAAACATCTGGTACTTAAGTCACCTTTAGGATGAAGTGGGGAATTGGTTTGTTGAGAATTGTGTTGCTTCTCTTTGTGCTGGAAAGAAACATACCTTTCTGATAACAGCTTTAACATAAAGAATGTAGTTGTGTGTAGGTTGAGCCTCTTCTACATGCAGACTAACTCTTTGTTTTCTCTTCCCTCCAGCTGGTGAGTCTGCTGCTGATTGGAATTGCAGCATGGGGAATTGGCTTCGGCCTCATCTCTAGTTTCAGAGTTGTTGGAGTGGCAATTGCTGTAGGCATCTTCCTCTTCTTCATTGCCTTAGTTGGATTGATTGGTGCAGTGAAACATCACCAAGTGTTGCTGTTCTTTGTATCCTTCAGTGTATTACACGGTTTACAGTTTGGTTCAAGAGTTACATGACCAATCTGCTCTGGTAGGCAGAGCCACTTGTGGAAGGCAGAAATTCCCAGCTTTACCCTTCTTTTTCACTCTGAGGACAGAAATATTCACTTCCCTTTATAAAAATTTTGAAACACTTTAATTTTTTCAGAGCTTTTAAGGTGAGGCACTGTATCATAAATCCTCACTGTGTGTTTAACCCTAAAGCAACCTAGAGTATGTGAACTACTAATGTGATTTAACATGGAGGACAATGATATAGACGGTGAAATGATTGGAGCTGGCAGAGGAATGCACAGTCATATGCTGCCAATAAGCACTTTCTTTTCATACCTACTTTTTAATTGTGAACTCAGATTAGAAATGAGCACAGGCCTTCTCAGCATGGTGCTTTGCTGTCCCTTTTTGTGTTACCAACACTGCATAAGCAGTCTGCCTTGCATAACAAACTTGTTCTATGCAGATGAGAGAAAAGATTAAATCAGATAATATTCTTATTTTTCTGGTTGTGGACTCCAAATAAATAACATCCTCTGCTTTGATACAGTTTAATCTTTTCCACATCTAGTCAGAATTTATCTGTAGATTTTTGTTTCAGATGACCTGATGTAATCCAATGATTATGTATTCTATAAGCAACATTTTTGAGAATGCATCTTTAACTACTGCTTACAGTACATGATTATTCTCTTGCTAGTCTTCATTGTCCAGTTTTCTGTCTCCTGTGCCTGTTTGGCACTGAACAAGGAACAGCAGGTAAGAAATACTTCCTGATTTCTCAGTTAACCTATAGCATGACATTATTTCTTATTACACACACACACACACACACACATGCATGTGCATGTGCATGCATGCATATATTTATATGTAGCTTTCCTCTAAATGAAGAGTATCTTTTAAGAAAATCTGCCTTCAAAAAATATAGTCATCTAGTTTGGAAAAGATATTCAGGATCATTAAGTTCAGCCATCAGCCTGACCCACTGAGTCCCATTACTAATCCACATCTCATAGTGGCTTGTTCACACATCTCTTAAATCCCTGCCTTTCAGCTGTCCTTTAAAAATTGTTTTAGTTTTAAAGTTTCTGTCTAGGTTTTTGGTCACAAGTGTAGCAGCATAGTATCTTAATTATATCATGTCTTCATGAGTTCCAAATAAGCTGATGAAATCTACAGTAATCATAATGTAAAGTTTATAAAAACCACTGAATTGTTCTCATGTAATTGAAAAGGTGACAACTGTATTAGGTACAGAGCAGATCTGTGGGAAAGAAAGACAACTTCTGTGGGGTATGGAGAACAATCCTTAATCCATGAAGAAAGGGCAAGACAAAACGATCTACTTCCTCTACATGTAACAGAGTGATTTGTTTGAAGTCTGAGCAGTCCCAGTTAGATTAGTCACATGTCCCATTACTAGTGCTCTTGTCAGGTTTAGGAAAAAGACTGGGAGAAAATGAGTTATGACCATTTATGACCAAACTTGTTGCTGTTAGGTGTTGCAATCTCATTAGCTATCCAGACTGTTTGAAAGTTAAGGTCATTTTTTAATATATTATCCTGTTAGACATGGGTATCTGAAGGTTTTAACTGTAAAATGTTATGTAATTGGTGGAGCAAAACTGGGTGAGCACAACAGTTTCTGTTTTGTGACTTCTTTCCATTGAATAGGTACACACAAATAAGGTTTGTGTTTGAGATATATTTGGAAAACTCCTGTTTTGACTCTTGTGAGGACAGCAAAAAGGGATCATTTACTTTGCCTAGAATATTTGTTTCCACTGAGATAGAAAGCAGTTCAATTAATATGTGTTTTTGCTTATACCTTCCAGAGTCAACTTCTAGAGGTGGGATGGAATAACACTAAAAGTGCAAGAACAGACCTTGAGAGAAATCTGAATTGTTGTGGATTCAGATTTTTTGATCCAAATGAAACCTGCTCCTCTGTAAGTTCTTTCTCTCATCCTGTTTGTTCCAAAATTTATAATTTCTTTCCTGGTTGAAGGCAGAGGTTTTTAACAAATCTGTAAATTAGTTGTCACACTGATCCTAAGGTCCTTCCTTAACTTACTGGAAATCTTATTGCAGAGCACTCTTTAAAGGTTGTATTCTGTTGTCATTTCTGTGTTTGCTTTTCTGGAGTCTCAAAATTCCCAAAGTTTTGCCCATGGTTTGCAGTCTGCTACAGAGCCAACAAAATAGTGCCAATCGGTGAAGCATCATCAGAAAACAGGATGCAATTTTCTGTTTATGTCTGTTACAGGATTGTTTTAGAAGTCACCAGTGTCAACCATGTGCGCCAATAATAGAAGAATATTCGGGAATGGTGCTCAGATTTGTTGGAGGCATAGGACTTTTCTTCAGTTTCACAGAGGTAAATGAATAGATTAGAAAACAGTGTGCTCTCATCTCACCTTTTTTTTTTTTTTTTTTTTAATTAAAAAAAAGCCTTAAAGTTTAGGGGTTTCATTACAGGAACTCCCAGTATTGTCTCATGTCTCAGGAGTCAAATCTAATAAGGTCAAAATTTTTCAGGCTGTCAGCTTGTTGAAGTCTGACAAAAACAGGGTTGGGGGTATTTACAGCTTTCCGTTATTTACACTACAAACCATTGACTAGATACCTCATTAAAATGTGATGCTGTAGATTTTGCAGAAAGCTAACTCATTAGGTTTACTGTTATCCAAAAGTAATGGACGTGCTGTTGCTTTTGGTTTATTTGCTTGGTCTTTAAGCTCCACATCCTGTCAACATGTTAGAATTCTGCTCCAGTTCCTGTAGTGCAGTTTCAGACCACATTTATTACATCAGCAAGAGATATAGCACCTAAAGCAGAACCCATCTCTTACCTCTGCCCACATTTATTTACTAAAAAATTGTGGCCTCTCTACCTGAGGTGTGGAGCTGAAGAGGGAAAAGGACAGAATTTGAAAATGTACTGGAAAAATAGCCTTATTCTTAAGCTGTAGCTTTAAAATGAAAGAAGTTTGAAGGATATTACTTTATCATTATCCTAAAAAAAGGTTTACAAATATTTAGCATTTAAAGAGGGGAAAGAATAGTAATAGATGCTCCTATTATAAATACTCTTCTAGCATTTAGGATACAGATTTGTCCTTTCTTTTTGTGTTGTTAGATAGCTCTTTCTGAGAAAGGTGCATTCTTTTTCTAATTAAGAAAGTTGTATGGGATTGTGCAATTTTAGCAATAGCAAAATACCCTACACTCGTGCTGTAAATTCATTATCAGAATTTTACATTTAAAACAAGTTTTGTAAAACTGTTGAAAGATAAGGGGGAGACTGTCTGCTTAATAATATCTTTGTGTTTTCCTTTCAGATTCTGGGAGTCTGGCTGACCTATAGATACAGGAACCAAAAGGATCCCCGTGCAAACCCTAGTGCTTTTCTTTGATAAGTTTATAAAGGACTGAATCTTCTTTCTGCATCCTCTACTTCAGAGTATTAGATCTCCATAGTTTAGTGTTTCTCTGTAGTAGGAATACTCTGTGTACCAGAAGGAAAATTTACCTTCTATAAGTTTGCAGTTTTCATCTTTAAATATTCACTGTTTTTCTTATAAGAATCACTATCTTGAAGTAGATTGGCATATCCAGTAGTTGGGCAGAATCAGAATGCTGTTCTGAGCTGATAATTTTTTGTTAAAGACTTTGGTAGTTGGTGTGGTGAACTCTATTCAGTGAGTTTTGAAGCACTACTAGCTTCTCTGGTGTCCAAAAAAAAAAAAAAAAAAAAAAAGTGTTTTCTGCTGTATTCATTAATTACAAAAATTCACCTAATTTCTCATTAAAATTACAAAAATAAATGGTGGATGTTTAGTGCTTGTTTGATTGTATGATTTGATTAGGATTTAGGATGAATTCTAGTTGCATTCTGTGTCTAAATAATGGTCTCACTCTCTTGTTAAGGTTATAAAAAAGTTGAAGTTGTTTTGTTATTTTCTGTACTGCACATAAGTGACTACTGTAATCTTCACCCTTTCCCTTCCCTGTTTGCTGTGGCTATTTGGTAGATTTAGATTTCTTTTTGAAAATAAAAGTACTTTATTTTTTACTGGATATTTTCACTTTGAGAACAGTAATGAATGTAATCTGCAGCTAATCAACTTGAACCTGTTTTTTTCTTTGACATCAAAATGAAGTTTGGTATTTGCACGACATCAGAGTCGGTAGTGGTCTGTCATCTTGTTCTTGTAAGAAACTTGACTTGGTGTTTGGAAAGTTGTACAAACATTTTCACAGATGGTGTAAAATTATTCTTGCAATAATTTAGCAGTATTTATTCCTCTGTTGTCCACCTAAAAGTCTTGATTTGATGAGAGATTGAAAACCAGAGGTGGGGGGGAACCAATTGTGTTTTCCACTAATTTGTTTTAAAAAGAGAAAAGAATTAAAGTTAAAATGTGCATAATTCACGCGCTGAGTGCTGTCTGAGCAGAAAGAAAGTGTAGTCCTTGGTCCAGTCTCTAACAGAAGCGATAGATGAGCTGGAAGATGTCAACAGAGGTGTCAACACCAGAGGTGCACAATGTTCCAGTTATTTCTAATCACAATGAATCACAGGCCTGCACAGTACCTTTTCTTCATTAAGTTGCTGCCTCTGGCACGGTAGGTAGCTGCTGTAGCCTGAAAAAGACAGCTCTGCAGGAGGAGAAAGTGAGGCTTATTAAATTAAACTGCCAAATAATACAGCATCTGAGTGTGGAGGAAAGAGGGAGGCAGTGAATGTTAATAGTGGTAGCTCTCAAAAGGCTCTGCCTTTGCTGGGAAGCTGCCTTCTTGGTTTGGGAAAGGAGTCCGAAAGAAGATGAAATATATGCTCATCAGAACACTTTGAGACTGCTGTGTGCCTAGGGCTGCTCAAGAAGGAATTGTCATGAGGTTTCAAAGGGAAATGTTGAACCTGAACAGATCGTCCCAAAGCTGTCCTTAGCGGCAGTTAATTTTCCCAGTCCCTGTATTTTGTGTGTTAATGTAATAAATTAGAGGAGAAGTATTAAGAAGTTGTAAGAAGGTTGAAATAATATTCTGTGGCTGCTTCAATTTTGATTCTTCCTTCTTCTTATTGATTTATTTACAGCTTGGTTTGGGGTGGCTCTTGTTTCATTAATATAGTAGGTGATACTGGAATGTAACTTTGCATTTCTGAGAAAATAGTGAAAATGTGGCGATGTTAGAGCTGTCACATCTCAGAACAGTTAGTGTGAGCTTGCTTTAGTGTTCAAAAGACAGGTAGTGGAGTGTAGAGTTTGATTAAAGCTTTTCTATTGTATATGTAACACTTTGTCTTTTGAAGATTGTGATTTAAAAAAAAAACAACAACAACAACAACAAAAAACACAAAAACAAACCCAAACAACTGCAAACCTTGAAATTCACATCAGAGATGGATTCACTTACTTAAGGTGGGGGAAGGGACACAATAAAACTGATTTATTCTGACTTTAGAACTGGGAAAGAGACTTGCTTTAGAAGCCTAACTTGCATATCAGTATACAAGAGATGCTGTACTCTTCTAATGTATTTAGATGGAACATTTAATTAATTTATTATTTTTTGTGGCTTTTTTTTTTTCTTTTTTCTTTTTTTTTTTTTTTTTTTTCTCCTGTCTTTCCTCTTGAGAAAACAGTTTTGGACGTACAACATTTTTATTATTGCTGTTTTCTGGAGAGGTGCATTAATTTTTCTGACTGCTTTAGAGTTTGACTTAATTGTGACCAAATCTTCTAGGAGCTTATTAACAGCAGCAGAATATCAGAATAACAAGGCAGTTTGGGAGCATTCAGTGCTTATATTAAATGCTTTTTGACATTAATTATGTTGAAATGCTTTCATAAAGCCCGTTATTCTAGAGGAAGCAGAAATCCGTCTTCTCCTTCTTTAAGATGTCCACAGATTAATAACTGCCTCAAAGCAAAACCAAACAATTGTAAATTGTTCCTTAGTGTAGCAGAAATGCTCAGTCACAGCTTGAACCAGTGATTGAGCACCTGGTGTGAAGGCAGGGCCAACCCAGAGGCCCTCCTCCCAGAGGAGCTCAGGTGCATGCAATGCTTCTCCAGGATCCGCCCCTTCTCAGACCTTATGTGAGAGTTGGCAGAGGAGGTGAGGGTGCCTGCTCTGGAGACTCCTGCCTGCTGGAGGCCTGCTAATGGTGAGTGCTTATTCTCCCTTTGCTTCTGTGGCTGCTTGTGCTGGGGCTTGTTCTCATTTGCTGTATCCTGGGGTTGTGCCAACTTGCTGCAGTCGCTGTACTTTCCATCACATTGCATCATAACACTTAGACACTTCAACAAGTCTTTAAATAGGCCTAGCGGAAAGGCCTGGAGGACCTGCAGAAATCCCACGTGCAGGAAACCCTCTTCATCCTGTGTGCTTCAAGTTATTGAGCACATACGCGTCAGAAATAATTTCCCAGATTTTCTGAAGAGATTGAGTTTTATTTTAAGTAACTTGGATTGGAGCCTCTGTAAAAAATTTGTATTTAGTGCAGGCCTGAGCCTTCAGGTGGTACCAACTTGCACGGCGTTAACTGCAGGGTTTATTTGTTTAGATCTGCTGTTCGTTTTGGGCTTCTAAATAAGCAAACTCAAGCGATCTGAAAGCTAACTGTGCACACCAAATGTAAGGTCTCATTATTAGTCTCAAGGCTTTACTGAATTCCAGTGTGATCCAAGATCTAAGAGAAGCCGTTTTAACCTTCTTTTTAAAAAGAGCTTTATGTAGAAATGATGATCCTCCAATCACTTCAGATGCAGCCAGTTTTAAAAACAATACCACACCTAAACGATCACATCCTCTTATCTCAGATGATTGAAAACGTTTTGAGAATGTGTTCCTCTTCTTAAAGGCTCAGGCATTAGGCACATTACCACACAATTAACTGTAAGCATAGAAAGGTCTGCACTTCTTATCTAGCTATAAAGAAAGGACTGGTAATGAGAGCTGGGCATAGGGTCCTGTTACAAGAAAATGAATGAAGAGAAAGCATGCTGAGGAATGGAGCTTTACCAGCTGCTAAAACTGCAAACAAAAGCTGCTTGGATAGAATGTAACAAGCCGTGGGAGTAAGTAAAGCTGATTTTACTCCACTAGTGATAGATAATAGGGAGGCATAAAAAACACAGCAACATTTTGTATGTAAACACTTGAAATGGATTTATTAAAAAAAAAAAAATCATTTGTACAATTGGGTCATACAGTGTTCCCCTGTATGTCTTAAATTAAAAGCCTCCAGCTTTTAAAAATGCTGCCCTGTACAGAAGTGCTAACATAAAACTAGTGTTTATGTTCATAAACCAGCACTATACATTACTAAATATCACTAAATAGTCTCTTCAGCAGTGTGAATGAGTGGAGAAGATGTGAAAACCAGACTTAGTGGTCTTTCAGGGCATCCTCCTTCTCTTCACAGCTCAGTCTTCAGCAGCTTCAGTGCTTTCTGCATATTTGAATACACTAGAAATGAAATATTCATGCATGTTATTTTTGTTGCAACTTCATCTGCCAGTGACCAGTTACTGTAAAGAAATGTCATTATTATTAAAGCTGTGTTCAAAAGCCAACAGCTATAATGAATCTGATGCACTATGCATCTTATGAACTCCGGTAACCTGGAGATGTAGGGCTTTATAATGGTTTAACACCTCATAAAATGAGTATAAAAACAGATCTATATTTTTCTGAACTTGAGCCACCTGCACTTGTCCTCAAAGTACTTGTAAAGCCAAGCATATAAGAGGACAAACTGACGCAGTAAGTTGTGCAGTTACACCCTTCCCAAACCTACCCCTACTGGCAGATAATGGTCCTTCAGCAAGCACTAGGTGCACATGGGTAGTAATGCCTGGTGCTATCCAGGAAAAGATGTGACTGCTTTGAGAACATGTAACTTACACAGGGAAATGTCAGAGGGCTCATACGCATAGAGACGGTTTGAGTATCTTCCAGTAATATCAGCTCTCACAGTCAGGGAAGGATCTGGAAAAGAGGAGGAGAAAAGTTGCAGAGCACAAGAGTAACCTTGAAGCAGAAGAAATCTTCCTGCACTTCTGCTTGCTTCCTAAGTTTTCCTGCAAGGCAAGTCTGCTTCCACTAACAACCAACTCACCTTCATTCTATGATGTAACTGAACTTCTGTGTTGAACATTTTGTTTGCAGTTTTGTTAGGAAGTTTGGTTCTGATCTGTGTTTATCAGCCTTAGACCCATGTCACTGCATAGTGCATGAGTTAACTCCATGAGTTGAGACAGTTTTCAGCCTACAGATCTTAAGAAGGAATCAAGGAAGGAATAAGATGGCAGTTGCTGTGGTCTACTGAAAATGATCCTGTGACCTAGGCTTATAAGGATGCGTTGGTGATATGTGTACTGAATACAGGGGGGCTGTCATTATGAGAGGTACTCACCAATGAACAAAATCCGAGGGACGTACTGGCCATCAGGGGCAAGGTTCTTGTCTGTGGTTTCGTACTGGAAGAGAGCAAATGAGGTTCCAGGTCAAGAATGCAAGACAGCATGTAACATGGACGTTTTCTTCTTTATGCTCAGCATAATGCAGGCTAAGCAATACTTTAACAATTTCAGAAATCTGCTGCCTGGGATACAGTCTTTAAACTGCTAGAGCTGAGAATTGATGATAACAGTTAATGACAGTATTACATTAAAATTTAAATTCCTTCCTATTTAGTGGTTATGGAAGCTGGAGTTGAAAGAGCTTTGTTACGAAATCTACTATGCCCCAGCACTGAGCATTCTTCCTAGCCAATCCCAGCTGTAAAAGAGCCTACTTAGAGCTAGAAGAGCCATAATCAAAAATAAAACTTTATTGCTTTCACCTGAAGTGTGAAAGGAACACTTACCACAAGGTTCAGGAGAATGAATTTTTCAGCCAATTTCTGTATTTCCTTATGTTCAGCAAAGACCTTCTTGAGTGCTAGAGTGAAAGCAATGAGGAATTTTAT